TCAAAAAAAAAAAAAAAAGAGAGAGAGAGAGACAGGTTCTCACTCTGTCGCTCAAGCTGGAGTGCCACGGCACAGTCATAGCTCACTGAAGCCTCCACATCCTGGGCCCAAGCAATCCTCCTGCCTCACTTTCCCAAGTAGCTAGGACTAAAGGACTGCATCACTGGGCCTGGATAATTTATTTTTATTTTTTGTAAAGATGGAGTCTCACCAGCCTGGTCAACAGGGTGAAACTCAGTATCGACTAAAAATAAAAAAATTAGCTGGGTGTGGTGGTGGGCGCATGTAATCCTGTCTCTTATACACATCTAGATGTGTATAAGAGACAGGATGGAGACCATCCTGGCTAACATGGTGAAACCCCATCTCTACTAAAAATACAAAAAATTAGCTGAGTATGGTGGTGGGTGCCTGTAATCCCAGCTACTTGGGAGGCTGAGGCAGGAGAATCGCTTGAACCCAGGAGGCGGAGCTTGTAGTGAGCTGAGATTGCGCCACTGCACTCCAGCCTGGGCGACAGAGGGAGACTCTGTCTCAAAAGAAAAAAAAAAAGAAGGAAAGAAAGAAACACACTAATATATTTATTTTACTTTTTTTTTTTGAGAGGAAGTCTCGCTCTGTCACAAGCTTGTGCCACCACAGCAGGTATATATTTTATAATCAGAAAGGAGAGGACAAAAAAGAAAAAATGGCCAGGCGTAGGGGCTCACACCTATAATCTCATAACTTTGGGAGGCTAAGGCAGGCAGATCGTTTGAGGTCAGGAGTTCGAGACCAGCCTGGCCAACATGGTGAAACCCCATCTCTACTAAAAATACAAAAATTAGCTGGGCATGGTGGCACATGCCTGTAATCCTAACTACTCAGGAGGCTGAGGCACGAGAATCGCTTGAACCTGGGAGGTGGAGGTTGCAATGAGTCAAGATCATGCCACTGCACTCCAACCTGGGCAACAGAACAAGACTCTGTCTCAAGAAAAAAAAGGGATGACATAGGTCCCAGAACATTCTGCGCGGCACTGTTTGGATGTATTGAATGATGTGAAACCGTCAGGCATCAAGGAGGGCTCAGGTGACATTCCTTGTTTGTTACTCCACACAATGGGGCACTCAGGCGCCAGGAGAATTAATGAAGCAAAACACAAATATGGATAACCCCCCAAAAGGTTCAGTGGGTAGAGGGTGCTACCCTTTATGTGAGGAAGGAAAAAAAGTAAAACTACATGTGCATGTGTTTAAATGCACATGGATTTTTGAAACAATGCACAAGAAATGAAGATGGATAACAGCATTTTCAGAAACATAACAGAAAGAAGGCCTTTTTTTTTTTTTTTTTTTATTGAGACAGAGTCTCTGTCGCCCAGCTGGAGTGCAGTGGCCCAATCTTGACTCACCACAACCTCCCCCTACAACCCGAGTTCCAGCGATTCTTGTACCTCAGCCTCCCGAGTAGCTGAGACTATAGACGCGTGCCACCACGCCTGGCTAATCGTTTTGTAATTTTAGTAGAGACAGGGTTTCACCATGTTGGCCAGGCTGGTCTCAAACTCCTGACCTCAAGTGATTGCCCTGCCTCTCAGCCTCCCAAAAGGAAGCCTGTAGAAAATACACATGTGGGCCAAGCGCAGTGGCTCACACCTGTAATCCCAGCACTTTGGGAAGCCGAGGCGGGACTATCCCTTGAGGTCAGGAGTTTGAGATCAGCCTGGCCAACTTGGTGAAACTCCGTCTCTACTAAAAATACAAAAGTTAGCCGGGCATGGTGGTGGGCACCTGTAATCCCAGCTACTCAGAGGGCTGAGGCAGGAGAATTGCCAGAACCCAGGAGGCAGAGGTTGCAGTCAGCTGATATCATGCCACTGCAATCCAGCCTGAGAGACAGAGTGAGACTCTGTCTCAAAAAAAAAAAAAAAAATTTTTTTTTGATGAACTGTTACCAATGGAGGGTGTCCAGGAGCTTGGTCTGGTGAATGAAGAACTGGACAAAATGGACAAACAAAGCAAGGAAATAATGAAGCAACAAAGGCAGAGATTTATTGAAAACAAAAATATACCCCACAGTGTGGGTGCACCGGGAACACAGGGGCTCAAGGGCTGGGTTACATAATTTTTTGGCGTTTAAATACCTTCTAGAGGTTTCCATTGGTTACTTGCTGTACGCCCCATGTAAATAGAGAGGATGTTTCCTGTCATAGCTGAAGTGTGAATCCACCTTATGTTCCCTGCCTCCAGACCCTATTTTCCTGCCTCAGAACCATTTGAGAATAAGTCGCAAACATGCTGCACCACCAAATACCTAACTATATTTTCCATAAACAGGGACAGGTTCCCACATGTACACTGTCAGTCAACGGTGAAAATCAGGACATTAACACGGCTAGATCGCTATCATCTAATCCGAAGACCCAACCACATTCACCACTTGTGCCAATCATGTGTGTTCATTTCAGTGTATGTTTTGAAATGTATACCAGATGCATATATTATCTTTATGAAAAAACTGATATTTTAAAACCACTCGTCACAGCCAAATGAAATAAGAGCGAACTCATTCAAGCAGGAGCCCCGGAGAACTACGAGAATCCGGCCTCTTCCAGGCCTCCTCGCCTGAGCGGGGCTCCCTTCTGACCGCCGCCCACCCACTCCAGGGCCAGTCACGGGAAGGGACCGCCCAGCCCGAAGGTCGCAGGGGCCTAAAACCCCAGGTCCTGAACGCGCCTGGGCCCTGCAGAATCGGATTCAGAATCGGATTCAGGCCAGGCCAAGAACCACCCCAGCTTCCTGCGTCCGCCTCGGTCCAGGATGCAATGCCGAAGGCGGACGCCAGGGGGTCGGAGGCTCAAGGACAGGGATCGAAGCCCAAGCCCTGGGGCGCCCACCAAGCTGTGGCTCGGGACTAAGGTTCCGGAACAGCCGGCCCTGAACACCCACGTGCAGCTTCCGATCTCAGCCCTGGCCTGCCTCCTTAGTCCCGGGCTGAGACCCGCGGCCGCTGCAGGGTGCCTCGGCGAGGGTGCGGGCTCAGGGCGCACAGTGCTCCCAGCATCTCCCACCCCAACCCCGCCATTAAGGGGAGCCCCAGCGACGCCCTGAACCCTGAAAGTCACACTGGGGTCGGGCTGCACTTGGCGTCCCCTTCCCCTCCCGTCACAGTGACCAGGGCTAGGGCCGGGGTCGGGGCCGTGGGGGAGAGTGGAGGGCACGTGGGAATGGGGCTCGCTGCGCCACGGAAACCCCGCGCCGTCCTTCAAGTCCTCCCTGCTGCTCCGCGGAGCCGGGGCCGCTGCCATCGCGTCTGCCCCGAGGGTGCGCAGGCGGGTACCTGTCCCGAGTCGGAACAGGTCGACTCCCTACAGTGGGAGGCCGGAGACGCCCGTCGGGCTTCCCAGCCCCACCCGGCACGTCTTCTCTCCTGGCGGAAGGCCAGGAGAGAAGAGGGTGGGAGAGATGAGCTGCAGGGGGATACGGGACCCAGGGATCCAGGGATATTAGAACATGCTTTCCACGCGTAGGACTGGGGCCCACAGGTGACCAGGAAGGTAAGACTCATTCGCCCCCTTTGCAGATGGACCCATGTTGGCGCCCCTTAGATGTGCAGTGGGGGCACCAGGACCTGTGATGAGCCTCTCCGCGTCCCGAACGCCAGCAGATCCGCCCGACCACATTTCGGCCTGGCTTGCTTTGCATAAATGATGCGTCAGGACATGCCCCAGACCCACTCCTTCCCAGATAGAGACTCTCATGCCTTCGCAGACAGAAAGTGTCCTAAGCACAGGCAGGCTCAGAACCCGCCTCCGCATCGGATTCGCTGTGAGGCCCCGAGCCAGTATCTTGGCCTCTCTGGGCCTCAGTTTGCTCATCTCAGTGAATGGGACACAGACACAGTCGCGCTGCGGGCTAACGCTTTATTTGCCACCCAAGGCCCCAGGCCCGCCTGGGCTTCTGCTCAGAAGATCTTCACGGAGTCCAGCTGCACGTCCCCGCCCACCTCCACCAGGCGCACGCGCGCCAGCGGCAGGCGGTGACGGAAGTGGTGGTACTGGGCGTCCCCAACCACGGCCTGCAGGGGAGGGTCGGTGGTGAGGATTCCGGAGGCCCATGCTGGGTGGCCCTGGGGAAATCACTCATCCCTTCTGGGCCTCAGTTTCCCCACTGGGAAAATGGGCCTATTGTTCATTCTAACTCTTGCGTGAGGATCAAACGAGTTGACTGGATGGCGCAGTAAAAAATGGCTTTTTTGGTCTTGGTAATGGATATTATTATATCCGCGACCATTACCCGCTATTAAAGCGCAGAGGAGGGAGGTGAATTCGCGTAAGGTCTGGGTGGCGAAGGATCTGCCGCCACCTCCACCCCCCAACCCTTTAGCTAGGATGACTTCCTGGGCGCTGTCTCCAACCCATTCCTTCCCAGGCCTCAAACCCCGGACCTCAGGAAGGAATGAACTGGGAGTAGGGTCTGGAATGGCGAGTCAGGGCCACGCCTTCCCACTAGGACGCCCACCCCTTGGACACTTGGCTGGTGCTCGCCTCCTCCTGACCCTGCTGTCTCTCTGACCCAAGTGGGAGTTGTTTAGGCGAGAGAGAGGGTCGAACGACACCCTTCTCTGCCTTGGCCACGCCTTCCCTACCCCCCTCACCCCGCCCCAACCTCCCTGCCTTCCACCAATAGCCTGGCTTTGCCCAACCCTCTGCTCCAGGGACCTAGGTCTTGGCGTCCACGCCCCTGTCTCAGAGACGCACCTTGAAGCCGTCGTCCGACGCGATGATGAGCACCTCGAAGGGCTGCCCGCGCTGGAAAGGAACGCCAGGCCCGCGCTCCTCGCGGCCCCAGGAGCCTTGCTCCTTGCTGTTGAAGACCACCTCTGACGTGTCCAGCCGGGGGTTGAAATGCAGGGCGGCATCGGAGTCCTGCTCCTCCCCGCACAGCAGGTTTACGTGGAACCTGGAAGTGGCGTTGGTGGCCGTCAGGGCTCAGAAACCACCCAGACCAAGAAATGTTGAAGGTTAGGAATACTGATGTCTACAATTCACTTTGAATGAATAAGTAAATGAAATGTTGGCTGGGTGCAGTGGCTCACCCTGTAATCCCAGCACTCTGGGAGGTGGAGAAGGGAGGATCACTTGGGCCCAGAAGTTAAAGACCAGCCTGGGCAACATAGCAAGACCCCATCTTACAAAAAAATGAACGAACAAACAAAAAATAAGCCACCCAGACCAAAGTCCTTCAAAAGGCTTATGGGATGGGACTCCCCATTCCCAGAGCACCCCCAAATTAGCAGGGACCTGAAGACAGGCACACACAGCAGAAGGACAGGTGGCTGACTAATGACCAGGGAGCTTAGATTCCCAAGGCAGCCAAAATGTCATGAGGCCCTTGGCAGAAACCTGCCCAGACCAAAGTCACTATGCTTAGGGCAGGGTGCCCTCATTTCCAAAGAGCCTGGGAGCTGCCCAGGAGGTCTGGGTGATGGCCAGGGCGCTCCTGATGCCCAGGGAACCCTCAGGTTCTACGGGACAAAGAAGAATACCAGGAAGCCCAGTATTTCCAGGGTGCCCCAGAATCCAGAAGGCCCAAAGTTCCTTAGCCAGGAAGTCAAAGGATGGCTTGGCAAAGACTCCCAGGGTCCAGGTGTCTACAGGACTTGGAGTATTCCCAGAGTTCCCTGGGACTCAGACATGGAAGTCATAGGACTATATCTAGGAACCCTGAGATTACCCAGGAACCTCAAATTCTTAGGGAAACTTAGGGACCCCAGCCACAAAGGCATGGGGCAAATAAGTGAATACATCAGATTTGAGGTCAGAAATGGCCCTGGACTCGTAGCCTGGTGGATACAGATGGCCTAGGGCCCCTATTTCTGGACTGCAAAAATTGGGGGTCAGCTGAGCCTAGAGACCTGTACCCTTTACCCCTAGGGCCTGGGGTCTCACCTGCCGGCGTTGGGAGGAACCAAGCCACGAATTCTCAGCACCGTGCCAGGGCGGATGCCCTCGGGCAGCGAGGACTTGTGGGGGACGTTCTGCAAGAGTGGAGTGCAGGGGCCACTGTGAGCCAGTGAGACTGAGGAGGGAGGCAGAAGGTGGGTCACCCCTCAGAGGAGTCGACCAGGACTGAGACTGGCAGAAATCAGTGGAAGAGAAAAGGGTGGCAGAGAGGCAGGAAAGAGACCAGAGACAGAGAAACAGATGGGGAGAGCGACAAAGAAAAACAGAAAAATCCTCAAAGAGGGACCCAGAGGAAGCCACAAAGAGGTAGAGGGGACAATCAGGAAGGGCGGTCACCCAGAGGCCACAGCCCAGGCCCATCCATGGCGCACCCACTGCCCACTTGCTCCTTTGAAAGAGGAGCCCCCAGCCCCCTCCCTACTCGGCCCCGCCCTGGGCCCCTGGAGCACTCACGGACATGGCTGGGACAGGGTCAGGCAGCCGTGGTGCTGGGGACTGCTGGGGACCTTAAATAAAAGCAGGGCGGGGCCAGCCCTGATGACTCACCCCACCCCTTCCCACCCACCACCCACACCTGGCACAGACCCTGGCCCTGGGGCAAGCCTGGCAAAGCGGGAGTGGCACCTCTTCTTGGGGGCCCTGATCCCCTCCATCAACCAGGGCCTGGGTGCACTGCCCCTCCTAGGAGCTGATAATAAGAGGGACCGTTTAACAATAATAAACACACAGCAGAGAAGGCTCCTCGTGCCACCGCCCCTCCAGCCCTGCCTTCCCACTGCCTGGCGCACGGAGAGCCTCTATTTCATTTCATGTAATTATTTGTTCTTTTCAGACCTGTCTGAAAGAAGTAATTTCTCTTATTTTATACACAGACATATTAGGTCCTGGGAGGCCAATCTAGGTGGGAACTCCAGATCCTTCTCTCCAGCTAAGAACCTCCTGCCTGGACTGAGGATGTCGGCGCTGAAATCTAAGCTTCTCCCTCTGCAATGGAACAGCAGCCACAGTAGGAGTGATAGTGACAGACGGGCAAGCTTCACGGGTTCACAGGGGGCCTGCCTGATCCCCTCAGTGCTGCACCCCTGGGTCCTGGAGTGTGCCCAGTTCATGGAAGTCCTCAGTCAGGAAAGGCGAAAGGAGGGGATCCACTAGGACTATGCCTGTCATTTCCTAGGCCCCTGGGCTGCCCAGGATATGCAGGAAATCACTGATTGGGACCCCACCATTCCAATAGGAGGAACGTGAGTCACTCCCATTGTACAGAGGAGGAGGCTGAGGCTGGGGTGGGAAGTGATTTGCCAAAGGCATGAGCCATGCAGGACCCGCTGCCTTGACCTCTGGCTCTCCTCACCTCTGCTTGTGCCTCTCCTGTGGGTTCTGTCTCTGGGGCTGTCTCACTCTGTCCATCTCTGCCTCTAACTCTGTCTACTGTGTATTCCTGTCCCACTCTCTCCTTCCAGTCTCTCTTGTTCCTCCTTCCAGGACTGCTACCATCATGCCACCAAGTTTGCAGGTCAGGATGAGGCGGGTTTTGGGGTGGTGGGTGGCCTAGCACCCCATCACCATCTCGATCAAAAGCAGAGCAAGGTGGGGACCCTCTCGCCAGCCCCGAAACAGCCCCCTTGGGTCTAAGACTCTAGAAGAGAACTAAGGTTTGGGAATTGGCTTGGGGGAGGGGCGGGTAGGGCTGAAAGATGCTTCTGAAAGACAGGGATAGTGTGGGAGCTGAGCAGAAACCACTCCTAGCAGCCCAGCAGCCCTCCTGGACATTTTCCACTCCCCACTCTGGCTCCTGCCCCACCCAGCAGGCTGCTGAGAGGGCTGCGCAGAGGCAGGCTGGCAGTGGAAAGTTTGGGTGGAGACACCAGACCCGGAACCATCCTCCACCCTCTACGTCCCAGCCCCCCAGCCTCTCGCCCCTCCCCACACACTCCAAGGCACCAAGCTGGAGGACCAGTTCTCTGGCACATGAGCTCAGAGAGGGAGGCTGGCAGCTGCATTTTGGTGGGGGCTGCAAGCACCCCCATTTTTCAGAGGACAAAACTGAGGCTTAGACAGGGGCCACCTCTCAGCCAAGGAAGCGGCCAGGCCCTCAGCTTCAGAGGGGTCTTTGTGCCAAGGACATGTCATGGGCACGAAGAGAGAGGACAGTGGGGTGTCCGCTGATCACACCACCAGCCCAACTCAGTTAGTTCCCGAGAACGTTCCCCTGAATGGTGGATTTCGTCATTCTAACATTACTGACCATTCTAAAGAAGACACTCACGACTGGGCAACACAGCAAGACCTCATCACCACAAAAAATAAAAATAAAAGTAAAATAAAATAGCCCAGTGGGTTGGTGCACATCTGCCTGTAATTCCAGCTCCTTGGGAGACTGAGGCAGGAGAATCGCTTGAGCCCAGGAGGTCAGAGGCTGCAGGGAGCTATGGTCATACCACGGCTCTCCAGCCTGGGCAACAGAGTGAGACCTTAGTCCACAAAAATAAAAGACACTCCTTACGTCACTTGATGCATCATTCTGTACCTCGCTATTGTTTCCCAAGAACATCTTTTTATTTATCTCTTCACTGTGGCTGGATATGACTTCACACCCAACCAACCTGCAAGCCCCAACTTGTCTTAAGTGATTGGCCAAATGATTGTAGTCAATCTGTTATCAGTCTAAAAGGCTGGCTCCTTTCCTGTAACTGAGATATGCATCCTTGATGGGCTCTTATTCATTAGTGTTGGTTATCTTTCTCATCAGTTGTGAAACAATATTTTCTTTTTTTCTTTCTTTTTTTTTTCTTTTTGAGATAGAGTCACCCAGGCTGGAGTGCAGTGGCGCAATCTCGGCTTGCTGCAAACTCCACCTCCCGGGTTCAAGCAATTCTCCTGCCTCAGCCTCCCGAGTAGCTGGGATTACAGGCACCCACCACCACGCCTGGCTAATTATTGTATTTTTAGTAGAGACGGGGTTTCAGCATGTTGGTCAAGCTGGTCTCGAACTCCTGACCTCATGATCCGCCCTCCTCAGCCTCCCAAAGTGCTGGGAGTACAGGTGTGAGCCACTGCTCCTGGCCTGAAGTAGTGTTTTCATGAGCCTTTTTTCTTTTTTTCTTTTTTTTTGAGACAGAGTCTCACTCTGTTGCCCAGGTGGGAGTGCAGTGGTTCGATCTTGGCTCACTGCAACCTCCACCTTCCAGGTTCAAGTGATTCTCCTGCCTCAGCCTCCCGAGTAGCTGGGATTACAGGTGCCTGCCTACCATGCCCGGCTACTTTTTGTATTTTTAGTAGAGATGGGGTTTCACCATGTTGACCAGACTGGCCTTGAACTCCTGACCTCAGGTGATCCAACTGCCTCAGCCTCCCAAAGTGCTGGGATTATATGTGTAAGCCACCGCACCTGGCCGCCTTTTTTCAATTTTAAATAGTTAATGTAGGCCGGGTGTGGTGGTGCACACCTGTAGTTCCAGCTACTCGAGAGGCTGAGGCAGGAGAATCGCTTGAACCCAGGAGGCAGAAATTGCAGTGAGCCAAGATAGCACCATTGCACTCTAGCCTGGGCAACAAGAACAAGACTCTGTCTCAAAAAATATATACAATAATAATAAAAAATGTATGTATTTCTCAGTAGCCTTTCTATGAAGGTATCCTTCCCATAAAATAAAAGATGCAGATACTATAGTTCACTGATTTTGAGAACTGTGGAGACCTATCTAACCACCTCCTCAATTAAGTTTCCTGGTGTCCAGGAAATAGTGGCCTCTTTTCTTGTTCCAGGAAGCCACCGGCCAGTGTCACTCGTGACCATTTTTTTGTTTTGTTTTTTGAGATGGGGATCTCACTCTGTCACCCAGGCTGGAGTGCAGTGGTGCAGTCTCTGCTCACTGCAGCCTCAACCTTCTAAGCTTAAGCCTCCTGGGCTCAAGCAATCCTCCCACCTCAGCCTCCCGAGTAGCTGGGGCTACAGACACACGCCACCAAGCCTGGTTAATTGTGTGTTTTTTGCAGAGAGAGGGTTTTACCATGTTGCCTAGGCTGGTCTTGAACTCCTGGAGTCAAGCGATCTGCCTGCCTTAGCCTTCCAAACTGCTGGGATTACAGGCATGAGCCACTGGGCCTGACCACTCCTGAGCGTTGACTGGCCACCAAAGTTCATTTGTCTCAAATAAAGAAGAGGGAGTAGACTGATTTTTCTGATTTTATGCCTCTTTTAGGAAATAATTTAGATGAAAAGTAGCTAATTGCACACTAGGTGGTTGTAGAGATTAAAAATTCAGCCGGACGCGGTGGCTCAAGCCTGTAATCCCAGCACTTTGGGAGGCCGAGACAGGCGGATCACGAGGTCAGGAGATCGAGACCAGCCTGGCTAACATGGTGACACCCCGTCTCTACTAAAAAAATACAAAAAACTAGCCGGGCGCGGTGGCGGGCGCCTGTAGTCCCAGCTACTCGGGAGGCTGAGGCAGGAGAATGGTGTAAACCCAGGAGGTGGAGCTTGCAGTGAGCTGAGATCTGGCCACTGCACTCCAGCCTACGCAACACAGCGAGACTCCGTCTCAAAAAAAATAAAACAAAATAAAAATTCAGGCTCCATGAATGTCATTTTGTTGGTGACATTTTGGTTATTTTTTGTACACAGTGAAGGTAATTCAGGGACTGCTTTTTGTAAATCAACATTCCGATGATGAAAATGACACTTAGAATTCTCACTTTAGCTGAGCGCAGTGGCTCACACCTGTAATCCCAGCACTTTGGGAGGCTGAGGTGGGCGGATTACCTGAGGTCAGGAGTTCGAAAACAGTTTGGCCAACATGGTGAAACCCCGTCTCTACTAAAAATAGAAAAAATTAGCCGGGCATGGTGGCAGGCACCTGTAATCCCAGCTAGTCAGGAGGCTGAGGCAGAAGAATTGCTTGAACCTAGGAGGCGGAGGTTGCAGTGAGCCAAGATTGCGCCATTGCATTCCAGCCTGGGGGACAAGAGTGAGACTTCCTCTCAAAAAAAAAAGAAAGAAATCTCACTTTGTTCTTGGCCAGGTGCAGTGGCTCATACCTGTAATCCCAGCACTTTGGGAGGCCAAGACGGTGGATCACCTGAGGTCAGGAATTTGAGACCAGCCTGGCCAACATAGTGAAACCCTGTCTCTACTAAAAATACTAAAAAAAAAAAAAGAAAAAAAAATTAGCTGGGTGTGGTGGCACACACCTGTGATCCCAGCTACTTGGGAGGCTGAAGCAGGAGAATCACTTGAACCCAGGAGACAGAGGTTGCGGTGAGCCGAGATCACACCACTGCCCTTCAGCCTGGGCGACAGAGCAAGACTCCACCAAAAAACAAACAAAACAAAAACAAAAACAAAAAACAACAGAAACTCACTTCATTCTTAAGCTTTTATGCCCATTGGAAATCCTACAACTCTATTTTTATAAATATAGTAAATATTAATAGAAGAATCCAATTGCTGCTAAGAAAACGTCTATTCTCTAGTGTTCAG